AGACCAGCTTCGTGAATGAGGCCTACTAACAGTAAGACTGACTTTTACTCATACATATATATAATGTTAAACTTTTAATGTTATATATAGTATAGGGTGCATTTTACACTTTTAAAATATTAGGTGATCAAATTTAACAATTATACTTTTAATTCAATTAAATTGTAAACCTAAACTTTTATGGATTTATTAAACTTCTTTTAATTATACACCTTATTTGATTAATAAAACCATAAGGGTGTGATTTGAACTTTTCAAAACATTACTAGGGTTTTAGAATTTAACATTCCTAATTAAACTTTTAATCAACTTTTAAATTCCAAAACTTGAGGGCAAGTTTTGAAACATTTCAAAACATTAGGGTTTAGAATTTAAATATACATCAAAATTAAACTATTTAATCAAAATTTAAATTCCAAAACTTGAGGGCAAGTTTTGAACCTTTTTCAAAACATTAGGGTTTCAACTATTTAAATTTCAAAACAACAAAACTTTTGGGTTCAAATTTAAACTATAAAACCTAATGGGCAAAATATGAAACTTTTCATAACAGCAAGGATCAAATAACAAATAATTCAAATTAACATTTAATCACATAATTATCCATATTTGATTTATTTAATGATTTCTTGCAAAACAATTTATCAATTTACTCAAAATAATTAATCAATTATCACATAAGGAAACAATTATCTTATTAATTGATAAATATCTTCAATTAGATCAAAATTAAAGTTAAATATATCATATAATTGGATTAATATTGATCTAACATGATAAGGTAACTATCCATAAGCAAAAACAGCAAGAAAACCTGAGATACCCTCCATCTGACGAGTTGACTCGTCGAGTCAAGCCTGGACTCGTCGAGTCAGCATGGACTCGGCGAGTTCAGCTATGGACTCGGCGAGTCCAGACTCTAAAACACCAAAAAATGAATTTTTTGAACATGTAATGCATCAATACAATTGAAACCAAGCTAGGCTTTGATACCACTAATGAGTTTTAGTCATAAGACATCCTATGTGCTCATACAAACTCTAATGCTTGGATCTAGGTTTCTCTATTGTACATGCTTTGAATCCAAGACTATAAACCCTAATTCTAGCATATGGAAATCGATATTAACATATAATTAGGTTTAAGATATTACCTTGATTGTTATGTAGCAATAACAATCCTAATTCCTCCTTGAATTGACTTTGGAATGCTTAGAGTCACAAGTGTCACTCCTCTAATGGCTTACAAACACCAAGAGCAAATGGAGAAGGTATAAAGAGAGAGGAGAGAGGTTAGAATTCGTCCTTAGGACTTCTTGGGAAGGGATACACGAATTCATGAGTCAAGGGGTGTTTATATAGGTGTAGAGATAGGGTTTCCGTCATTATCCTTATCTAGTTGCTTATCCACAAAGCAACCCATAAGATAATCCTTGAATCCTTATCATAGTCGAATTCTAAGGCCTTATCACCTTAAATTCGTTCACCCTATATTTAAGATAATCCTTACCTTATTTTGTAACTATCGCATAATTACAAATCAGCCCTTCTAGTTTAATTAATTACACTTGATCACAAAATTAATTCCTAATTAATTATTGATCAATATTAATTAAACAAATATGATTTCTCCTTTAATATATTATTCTTATAACATATTAATAAATCATAATAACCTCTCTCTCTTTATTTATTTCTCCAATCAAGTTGCTTTGGTGAAGGCAACCCAAAAGGACCATGCACCATCGGGTCAAGTACATACCAAAACAGTTATGGACTTAGACACTAATCCAACAGTAGTAGCGGTGGGAGGTAATGGGAAAAAGAAGCAATCAATAATAGGGAGGAGACTAAGGTGCTGTTTGTTTTTTCGAAGCGAAAATTCATGAAGTCTGCAGACCACCTCTGCAATCCTCTGTAGCAGAAAAGGTGGAACAAACGGCTGCAGCCTATAATAAAAAGCATGTTTGTTTTTTAACATCTGCAGACTGCTGCGGTAAACTAAAATTTAAATAAACTAATTTTATAAACTGAAAATAGTTTTCAACACTGAAATTTAATAATTCCAGTCTTAAAACATTGAAATAATAATATCAAGAACATGTAAATAAACAAAAATATAAAACTTTTTTTTTAAAAAAAAAAATACTTAAAAACATGTAAAAGAAGCTAATAGTTTTATTCTAAAAAAAACAAATTTTAAAAAACATTAAAAAAGAAAATAATAAAAAAAAATTAAGAAAGTATTACAAACGTTGTCTACAAAGTTCGTAAAAAATTACACGCGTTAAAAAAGATGTAACTGAAATTGAAATTATTATTAATAACACGGTAAAAAAAATTAAAAAAATCAAGTTAAAAAAAATCATGGAAATTATAAAAATAAATACACATCCGTAAATAAAAATTTAAGAAAATCAAAGTTTAAAAAAAAAAAAAGTTATACAAAAATCCTTAAAAAAACACTTAGAAAAAATGAAAGTTGAAGAGGTTAGAAGAGGCAAGTTAAGTTCTACGCCACGCAACACACGCGCTGAGGTTTTGTAGTCTGAAGCCTTCCAAAAAACAAACTGCTGCGAGAGGGAAATTGTTGCGCGTGTGCTGTGCCGCGCAACAATAAGTGATTTGAAGAGGTTTTTATAAAAAAACAAACAGCACCTAAGTTTCTAATAATATAGTGGGCTTTACAAAACGTTAGAAGCGGGGTTGAGGCAATGTTCAAGAAAAATGGGGTTTTTCGGTGAAAGTAAAGGAAAGTAAAGAGATTGTGGTATTCTCTCTTATTATTCAAGTTGGTCCACTATGTCTCTACTTAACTCTAAGGTTTCAAAGTCTTTGTTGTGGTTCCCAATAAATAGATAGACAGATATATAGATGGATAAATAAATATATAAAAGATAATAGATATTTAGATTGATAGATATAGAGAGGGTAAATATATTTCGGTAGAGGTGGGAGTGGGTAGCCAAGGTGGGCGTGGTTTCCTTTTATGTTTATAATTTTATATAGACACAATATGATCATAAAAAAAAAAAAAAAAAAAAAGACAAAACAATTATTTGGTATGGACGAAAGTCCGAAGCCACACAAAAATAGCAATACGGGTAATAAAAGTACCAAAAAAAAGTCTTGAAATTTGACCAGCAATGTACACTACAAGAAATATAACATTTAGCGGTGATACTATTACCGGCAACAAGCGGCTTTACCGGTGACATTATCTAAAGTCGCCGGTAATAGTGTCGCCGCTAAAGGGTTGTCACCCGAATCGGCACTTTCTCCATTTGTTACATCTGAACCGTTCGATGAGATATCCAATCCAACGGATGGGGTGTCTAATCCTGTCTAATCTAATACCGGCGACACAGATGTCGCCGCTAAAGGTTAAAAAAAGTTGCTGCTAATAGTTCACTAAAAATGACGCGGTACCTTTCTCTCCAGTTTGTCGCCGCTATTACTGATTGTCGCTGGTAAAGGGTTTGGTGTCGCCGCTATTGCCTCTTGCAGATTAAAAAAAAAAAAAAAAAAAACACACGCATAAACCCTCCATTCTTCATTCTTATTTCTGTGTGCTTCCAATTTCCTTTACCATTTCGCTGATTTTCTCTTCAATTTGCTTCTTCCAAGCAAATTTCTCCCCACATTGTTCCAAACAAAGATCTCTAGGTGTGGTTAAAGCTTTTGAGACTAATTTCTACCTCAATTTCTTGAAGAAAGGTAAGTTGATTTGGTAATTTCATTTTTAATTTGTATTTTAATTTCGATTTGTAGCTTTATCTAGTGATTAAATGGTAATAAATTGTTCATAATCTTGTTTTTGGTGGTGTTGTTTTGGATTAGAGGCAAGTTATTCAATTTCTTGTTTGTGGTTATTGAATTGCAATTAGTTGTATAACTTCCACTTATAGTTGGAAAATCTTTGTGCAATGCTCAGTGACCCGGCATGTAGAGGTGAACTTTATTCGTTTTTTCAATCACAAAATAATCAAGGAAACAATAGAAACAAAGATGGTGTTATGTAAGGATGCGTTTTATTTGCATATGTTGTCATGCTTTGTTATTTGGTAGATTGTAAAAATTTGGTTGTGTTGTTACTCGGATATTATGACTTTGCATTGACACTATTATGTTTGATATTTAAACGGATGTTTGTTAATATTTAATTTGTAATTAGCGTCGATACTATTATTTTTTATATTTAATCGAATATTGTTATTAACGGCGACACTTTTACCGACGACATTATCACCGCCAACCAAAATCATTTATTAAAAAAAAAAAATTAAAAAAATGAAAACTGTTATTACCGGTGACACTTTTACGGCGACAAGTGTTATTACTGGCGGAATGCTTATTAGCGGTGACAATACTCATTAGCGGCGATATAGTTAATAGCGGCGACATAGTGACCAATAGCGACGAAGCAGTAGCGACGACTCATTACCGGCGGCGTGTCGACTCTATTAGTATTACCGACGACTATTGAGATTTTTACCGGCGACTTTTGTCGCCGGTAAAAACCTTTTTCCTTGTAGTGAAGTAAATCTAAATTTTTTTAGATGAAATGTACAACTTTTTGACAACTATAGGCACCGTTTTCGCAATTTTCTCATATTCTTATTATTATTTGGTGGAGTGGATGGAGGACTATAACTATATCCATCTACCAATATCCCTACCACAAGACATTTATAATTTAAAAATTAGTTAATAATAAACAGTCGATATCTACCGAATATTAAATTTATTTTCCTTTTTATCCTTCCTTTTCTCTTTAAAAATTCAAAAAGTCATTACTAGGTTTCTACCACAGTTTAACAATTTATTAAAAATGACACGGGTTGTTCGATTTGGGCGGGTTGAGTTTGATCGACAGGACAAAACCTTTTTAAGGTTAGTAAAAAGATTCGGACTTTTAGTATTCTAAATTAAAATAAAATGAATATTAGAGCCGTGTTTGTGTGTGTTTTACACCTATATATATATATAATAAGTGTTTCGATTAGAACTCACAACCAATACTCCCAAAAATGGGTAACTTTGGGTCTTGCTTTACCTCAAAAGAAACCGAAGTCTTTCCAATTGAAACGAGGTTCAAGTTTCCTTCTCCATTGCCTTCTTGGCCACAAGGTAGTGTTCCTTATTTTTCATCTATAGTTTTTGTCCAAAAGACTTAATTATTGTGTTAAATTATACCATAGTCGATTGATATTTAGATATCTTACTAAATTACGTATAAACACGAAGTTTAACCATGTCTTTAATTTCAAGTACCCCATCGTGGGTTCGCATAATTTTCTCCATTTAATAAATATTCTGGTACATGATTTATATATATCAGGTGAAAGATTTGCAAGTGGTACAATTGATCTTGGAGGATTAGAAGTTTGTCAAGTAACATCTTTCAAGAGAATATGGTCGACTTCTCAGATTGGATCTAATGACACTGATATCACAGTCTTTGAGCCATCGCCAATTCCAGATGGGTTCTTCTTGCTTGGTTGCTACTGTCAATCCAATGACACCCCACTTTTTGGCTGGATTCTCGCCGGAAAAGATGTCTCCGGCGGAACCCTCGTTAATCCGGTCGACTATACTCTCGTTTGGAGCAGTAAAGATTCATGTTACATTTGGCTACCAACGCCACCGGAGGGTTACAAGTCAGTTGGGTATGCTATTACTACCTCACCGGAAAAACCCTCCTTAGATAAAATCCGTTGTGTTCGCGCTGATCTAACTGAAGAACCTGAAACCGATGCATTGTTATGGGGTTCCGATGATGTCAGTGTGTATGGATTAAGGCCAAAGGTTAGAGGGAGACAAGCGCAAGGAGTATCGGTAGGTACGTTCATAATTGTGAAAGATGGAGACGATTCGAGTTTATTGTCTCTTTCTTGCTTGAAAAACAATAACTTCGAAAAGTCAACTTCTTTTTTGCCAAATGTAGCACAAATTAATGCCCTTATTCAAGAATACTCTCCAAGATTCTACTTTCACCCTAAAGAAACCTACTTGCCTGCTTCAACAACATGGTATTTCACCAACGGGGTTCAATTGTACCACACCGGAGAGGAATCAAACCCCAATTCCGGTCGAATCCACCGGCTCTAATCTTCCGCAAGGTGGTTCAAACGATGGCACATACTGGCTCGACCTCCCTGATGATGAAACCGATAGAGAAAGAGTCAAGAAAGGTGATTTGCAAAACGGTGAGGCTTATATTCATGTCAAACCAATGCTCGGAGCCACGTTTACTGATCTAGCGATTTGGCTTTTCTACCCTTTTAATGGTCCTTCCACTGCAAAGTTTGGTTTGGTTGATATTCCTCTAGGAAGGATTGGTGAGCATATAGGAGATTGGGAGCATGTGACGCTTCGGATTAGCAACTTCGATGGAGTTTTGTATCGTGTTTATTTTGCTCAACATAGTGGAGGAACATGGGTCGATACCCCCATCACTTGAGTTCTTGGATATGAGTAATAGATTTGCAGCTTATCCTTCGTTGAATGGCCATGCAACGTACCCTACTCCCGGGGTTGTAATGCAAGGAACTGATGTGATTGGGATCAAGAATGATGCAGCAAAAAGTGATAAGTTTTTGGACGTAAAAGACAAGTATTTGATAATGGCAGCTGAGTACACCAGTGATGTAATCGAGCCACCATGGGTGAACTACGCGAGGAAATGGGGTCCAAAAATAACGTATGAGATTGGGAAGGAGATCGAAAAATTGGAGAACTCATTGACCGGAATTGTGGGATCGGCGATCGGGAGTTTGCTGGATATTATTCCGACGGAGTTTTCCAGCGAGGATGGACCTACTGGTCCTAAAATGAAGCCTGAATGGGACGGGGATGAACGGTGATTAAAACTCTTAGTCAACAAATTTCATTGTTTTTTTTTTTTTTTTTTTTTTTTTTTTTTTTTTTTTTTTTTATTATTTTTTTTTAAATTCATTTTTATTGGTCACGCGCATATTTCGATTTCCCTTTTGGTTTGTATGTAATATCTGTATACTTCCAATTTTCATAATTGGAATTACATGAGTTTACACTTATGATTTATTTGTAAGACACTAATAATATATTCTACATCCACCATTAAATACAAGATATACAACTTATTTTTAATACACAAAACTCATTAAATTAAGGTCTGTTTATTCATAATCATCATTCTTATAGAGTATCCACAATAC